TCGCATTTCCCCCTTTCGTCCCTAGCAATCTTTGGCTGGTCGATCAATAGGTATTCAAAAAATAGTACTAATCTACGGCCGAGATGTTATGTAGAGCGTCTCCATCGTGCTAATACAATGCTCGTTATATTCGATCAATTCTCGAATTACCTCAATTTTCTTTATAACGCTATTCAAACACTGATGCATCGGTGATTTAATCGGATAAACATGTGATAAAATGTTATTTTCAAAGCTAACTATGAGTATATCAGTTTTTTTGAAATAAACTTAGATTTGACTAAGTCAATCTATAACATATAACTTTTTGAGTAATCGATCGCTGCAGTTCTACGTATTCTTTAATCATGAAAATTATGGTATCACATGAGAAATCGATTATCTTAAACTATTTGTAAGAACGTAAGATAACGTTAGATAACATTGTGTCATCGACATAACGAAAATACATTTTTGTATTTACATGTCGATTTCTTCAGACAGTATACAGGGTGACTTGTAATGTCACGTATTCCTGTTAAGGGGTGATAGATTAGGTCAAAAGCAACCGATTTTGTCCTATAATGTCCTATCCAGAAGTTAACCGTATTTGAGTTATTTGAATTTTTTTTTATTTTTATTCCGATTTCAGACGGTTAAATTTGAAATACAAAACAACTACATATTTGATTTTGAGTTTTTTGTTATCGTCGCATAGCGGACATTCCAATAGTTCATAATAGGTAATAAAATTTTGAAAGCTTACAAAAGTTTTAAAATTACGCTTTTGAAATGTATGATTTTCTTATGTTTTTACTAACTTATTCGATAAAAAATGCAATTTTCTGTAAAAAATCTCCTTGTAATGAAATTTGCAAATTATGTAAATAATATCTCTATCTAACAAGCTTTCATTTGAGGTACAAAAGTTACAACTAACTCAAGTACAAAGACATAAAATTAAAAAAAGATGAGTAAAGTTGTACGAACGATAATTACGTAGGATAAATAAAAGGCTTATTTTAATTACAGTTTTATTTAATTACATTTCCTTTAGTATCTTACAGATTCTGCTCAAATTGTAATCCCCTGTTACGAATACACGCCCGCATTCTCTTACGTAATTCAGTTTTGGTAACTCTAGTAGTTAAGCGACTTTTTATTTGGTCAGCTGCACTGATTATCACTTAATTCATCGCGCGTTGGTACGGGCGAAACATCGTACACCAGGCTTTTCATATGTCCCCACAGATAGTAATCCATCGGTGTGAGATCTGGGCTTCTTGCTGGCCAGGCAGTGGGCCCGCCTCTGTCAATCCATTGATTTGGAAATTTAGAGTCTAAATACGCCCGTACTAATCTACTGTAGTGTGCGGGACAGCCGTCGTGCTGGAACCGCATATTTTGTCTCGTCGTCAATGGGACGTCTTCCATTAATGGAAACAAGTGATTTTTCAAGAACTCTTCATACACTTCTCCATTTAAATTGGCGGGCAGAAAATGAGGTCCAATTAAATATCCATCAATGATGCCCATCCACACATTGACTGAAAACCGGCTCTGAGACCCCGTCGGTCTTATTTTTCGGGGGTTTAAAGCTTCTTTATCAGCCCAGTAATGAGCATTATGGTAGTTAGTGATCCCGTCCTTATGTCTGCGTATTCTTCATTTGTAAAGTTTGCCCGTGATCACTATGGCGAGGTCCTGGCGGATCTTCTGCATCTGCCATGATGATAAAGAAACAACTCGAAATGAACTGGGAAACTCGAAACTAAACCTAATTCTCACTCGGCGTGCGGCGATGGCGTAACTACAATGATGAATAATAACAGCTCTCTCTCTCTCTCACTCCTCCACTAAGTCAGCTCTTCTTGCTCGCTTCCTCGTCGAGCCGATGCCATAAAACAATCATGGCATGCGAGTCCTTTGAGGACAGTAACGACTTGTTCAAACAGGTAATACAAATTCCTTAAAAATCCAGCCTCTGTGGGTGTCATTGTTGTTTCTCTGCATGTACTTCAGATAATTGAACGCTTAATACCTCAAATGAAAGCTTGTTAGATAGAGATATTATTTACATAATTTGAACATTTCATTACTAGGAGATTTTTTACAGAAAATTGCATTTTTTATCGAATAAGTTAGTAAAAAAAAGAAAATGATACGAAAGCGTGATTTTAAAACGTTTGTAGCTTTTCAACATTTTATTACTTATTATAAACTATAGGAATGTCTGCTTTGCGACGATAACAAAAAACTCTAAATCAAGCATGCAGTTTTTTTGTATTTCAATTTTAACCGTCTGAAATCGGAATAAATAAAAAACTTAAAATTCAAATAACTCAAAAATGGTTCACTTTTGGATAAGACATGATAGGACAAAATCGGTTGCTTTTGACCTAATCTATCACCCCTGAACAGGAATACGTGACATTACAAGTCACCCTATCAAAGCAAACAAAATTAGACTCAAGGAAAACGATAATCATCACATCGCCGTAGTTTTACTCCTTATCTTTTAGAACACAATAATTCCAGCTAATCTAACAATTGAATAACATAATAGCAAAAATTTTCTTATAATGACATTCTACAAAAATGGATGCATAGGAAGTACCATGTCTATCTACATAATTTTTGAAATATCCTGGATCACTGCTATTCTTAAAAGTTTTTGACATGGAATTTGGATTCTCAAAAACTAAACATTTATTTTTTTCCACCGGTAAATTGTATCTACATTATGATTTCCAATCTCTTCTTTAGGTCACAGTTATGGTGCACAATTAGGCATTCTTTTCTCAAGAATGTATCCACATTTAGTAGAAAAATTTATAATGATGAAGGAATACATGCCTACCCCGATTAAAGCAGATGACTACATAATACATATGCTAAAAATATTTCAAGATCACTTTAGTGTTCATAATAACTGGCAACAGGAAAGCAACCGAAATATAAATATGAAGAAGCCTTTAACAAAGTTAAATGCAACAGGGATAACGGACCGCCCATATCTGATTAAAGCTACAGAAGTTTTGTTGAAACGTGGGTTACGGAAGTAGGTAAGTTTATGTCACTTGTCATTTCGATTGTCATTAACGTGTAGGCAAAAAGGTTCATAAAAACAGGTACTGCTACACAAGCTATTATAATTATGTCCACTGAGAGGAAAAATTGTGCCTTTTTGAGAAGAAAAAACAGCTTATGTTTACACGTTGTGTCAAGGGACTGTTACTTTCAAATCAGAGTCCATTTTAAACAATTGGAGTCTCATCTGAAAGTCCGGCAGGGATATTGTGAATCTTGAAAAGTGACATTATGTAGGTTTTCCTATAAGATGTTAACTTGGAACTAGCTGTTGTTCACTTGATGCGCACTCGTCGTGTTGCCTAAACGTCATGAGAGGCTTGAGCTATTATGGTTTGGCTCTGATGTGATGTAAAATCTGCTTCAGAAATGGCAATATTGGAGTTCTGAGCTGTAAGCTGTATACTATAGCTGGAAATAAACGCGCAAAACGACAGTGCATAGCGCTCCTTGGTTTCTTGTCTCAAATACAGTTACTTGAAATGTATGCAAAGCTAGAAATTAGTTGAGCCTCCACTTTTTCTTATTTATCCTGGAAATTACATATGAAAATTTGATACATTTCAAAAATGAGAGAGATAAAAAAACCGTGGTTGGTGAAGACAGGAATATTTTGGAAACGTGAAAGGGCTATTATATTTTACATTATTTTTTATTTCCAGTCATTAAAATTTCATAGAATGGGATGTCAAGTAGAACATACAAATCAGCGCCTAGATGTGAGGACTGCGAAAATGTTTAGTGTGTGATGCGTCATTCCTAATTTTTCTGTGATGTGGTTTGATTACACTTAAAGCGGGGCGCGGAGGTGATTTCCTGCAAAGCTTCTAAAATTTTTTCAAACCGGAGAAAGTCATAATTTATAACTTTGAACATAAACTCTTTTCAGAAAGGACAACACATAAATATTCATATTCAGTAATAATTTTCTCTCATAGCAAATATTACTGATTTTATACATATACAGACTAATGCACACAATCATCCAGATGCGATCTTGCTACTCTGCTACTCAACCAATTTTATCTCTGCCACATCATCTCAGATATAAAACTGTACATACTATTCCGGCATTCTGCAACCAACAAAGCATGCTGGCGAATTGCTTTCAGCAGGGCCGTTGATCATGTCGTTGAGTCATTCGTCCAAAGGTGGCGCTAACAGCAAGCAAACGCGGAATAAACTATTTGCAAACCAGCAGCTATCTAATCAGCAAGTTGACATTTTGTCGTTTTTTTGACATTACATAGGCTATTTACGTAATAACTCGGCATGAGATTCCTCCTTTTGTCCATATCATTTCGTAGCTCCTAATAATCCACGTTTGGCAAATGGGGTACTCAAAAACGCATTTATTTATGTTAATGGTTCGTATGATTGAAATGTATTGTTCCAAGGGACGACCAATACATATTCACATTAGACCAAATAACGATCCGCTTCATGACTTCAAAATAACTTGAATAGTTCGTAAAAATATAGGCCCTAATACGCTATGTTGCCGGAGTAAGTTGTATTTATGAACTTGTATGTATATGTATATTTTTATAGGTTATTATATCACACATTGGCGGGATCATTTCTTAAATCGGGCTAATAAATTCACCTGTGGCAAATGGGATACTCCAAAACGCATTACTTTATTTATGTTAACACTCAATGTTCAAAGAGAACAAACAACATGAGTAAATAAATATAAAACGGTTCGTATGATTGAATTGTTCCAGGGAACGACCAATACATATTTACATTAGACCAAAGAATGAAGTATTACATTGATCCGCTTCATGACTGCAACTTTGCAGTACACAGTTTGAAAAAGCACCCACTGCAGTGTCCAACATTGATGATTTTAGCCAAAGGAAACGATTATACCACCAAATTGTTCACACCCGTGCTGAACGAACTGAAGAAACGAGACAACTTCAAGTATTTTGAAGTGGAGGGATATCACGATGTTCACAATGTACATCCGGAGAGAGTAGCACCATTTATTCAAGAGTTTTTAACTTCTAAAGGTAAACTGGAGCCGGAGTTGGATAATTTCGATAGCGGAAAATCTCTTCTGGTGAATTGTTCCATATCTTGACACTCCAGAAACAACGAACAGTCATAATGACAGTTCTGAATGTACTCCTCTACATCGGTAACTTTGCACTAATTCTAAATACTTTCAATAGCTTTTTATTTTTTGATTCTTTCGACCACTTCTCATACATGAGTATATAATTTGACCAAAGAGAATGTAATTAGAGAAACCGAATAAAATTAGAGGGAAACTAATTTAAACCGACAGAACGACTCTGTTGTTATTTGGGAAGAGATGGGTGCGGTGTTGCCGGATAGCTAATTCATTTTGGATACATTTATTGTACATCATGTTACAAAAGATTAAGCATTTTTTGTTCGAATTTGCTTATATTTAGGGTTTTATTCATGATGGGGATATTTATCTACCAAATATATTTCACATTTAATGTGCACGCTGCACGTTGGAAAATAAGTGCATTGACAAAAAAATACAAGGCAAATAATATCCTAATGATTGCTTCATGTTCATCCGTGGATCCCATAGTAAATAGTATGCTTATAAGCTTGATTAGTTACTAAATATGGCACTCATATTTTATCAAATGAGATCTTTAAGATTATGCAGAGTCAAATATGTTTCAAGGGTCTGCATTATATTTTCGGAAATTAAATGTACTGAAGTTTGCTCATAAATGTCTCTTTTTTTGTTGCAAAATGTGATAATAAAGGCAACCAGAAATGTAGTTCCAAACTAATTAAAGCGAAAAGGTCAATGAGGGTGACAAACTAATGTGTACACCGTCTCTGTGATATGACGCCATACTCAGCAGAATGTTTTTTTCAGGTTACGCAGAAACACTTGGCAGCAACACATTCAGAAAATTAGCTGCAGCTGCTTCAAGGTTTACAAGATTTTTATAAAGATAAGATCGATAGTGTTCATTTTTATTTACAACTACCTTTAAAAACCTTTAACATTAAATAATAAAGTATAGTCTTAAGAGTTATATACAAAGTATTTTTGTACAACTAGTGGAGTACATGAGAGTTTTAACCTCGGAATACAGTTACACTGAATGAAATTGAAAATAAATACGTGCAGTTAGTAAGATTTTAAAAAATCGGGTTACCATAATAATTCAAAAACCAATTGCAATATCTCTAAAATAGAAGATATATTGAGAAATAATTTGAATAGTTCGTAAAAATACGCTCTATTGCCAGATTCATGGCGTTAAAGTTGTATTTCCGAACCTGTATTTATACGAATATTTTTTATAGGTTATTAAATCGCATATTGACGGGTCATATCTTAAATCGGGCTCATTTTTTTTGTCTGGAATGTATCCATGGAGGCATGAGCTCTGTAATATTAATGGTACTAGGACGGACGGTTTGGAGTGGAGTCGCGCTCAAAGTTTAAAGGTTTGGTAAAAAAAGTATTTTATGATAACAAGTAAAAATATATCATTGATCACGTTGTTTAACAAAAATAGTTAGATTTCAGTTTGCCAAATATTTCATATTAACTAAATCTCCCATAAACATAAAAACAAATCAATTTATCAAAATAAAAAAGCCTTCAAACTATACTGTTTAATCTCTGTAAGGTACAAGTACTGCCTTTTTGACCTATATACCTATATACCTATTCTGTTTACTTATTTAATTTTTTCAGTAATAATTCTATTTGTAAATAAGTATTTATAATTTTGAAAAATAATCTTCGGTTAACTTAACATATAGGAAAACATGCTGTTTTTAGTTTATTTATATAATAATTTTTGTTGAATGTTATTATTACATGTAATCATATAATTATTAAATTGAATTATTAGATGTTGAATATGTTTACTTTTGTGCCATTTATGTACGTATTTCAATATGAATAAATTATATAATAATAAAGTAAAATTCTGCATTATTGAGTTTTTGCTTTGAAAAAATAACATCAATAGATTATGGAAACTATGATAAAAGGCAGTAATTTTTTTGCAGAGTATAAAAGCAGTAATGTTGCTGCTTTTATTTACACTAATTAAAGACGAAATGTCATTTATTTTAGGCATCAACAACAATTATGATCTGAAATCTCATTTAAATGACCAATTCGGCCAATTTAGAGATCCGGGAACAAACTCCAACTCATATAGAGTGATTGATTGATCATCCTACTTTATGAAAAAAAAATTTTGTGGACGTGTTTTGGAATTGTCAGCCCAATGAAACAACGAAAATTTTTTAAAATACACTAAATCTACCGAACGCATTAGCAGATCTAAATTTGGAAGCCCTTTTTAATTCTCCGAACAATTTTACTTCGAATAGTCATATATTGCGAGGCTTAACGCTTTTTACGATAAAGAGAGTAGCGAGAAAATGGAAATGTTCTTGAACTTAGAACGCATCTCCTGAGAGTACAGCTCGACCTAAGTATTTGAGATTTTTCAGTCCTTAGGCCTTATATTAGACATGATCCGCTGTCCAATATGATGAAAATGGCCAATTTTTGTCAGAAATTTTGAAAATTGAATCCAAGGCCTATTCGACCAAGTTAAAGGAGAGCTATAGAGGGATAGGTTGGTCAATTTTGAGTTCCTTGTACGGAATAAATTACGGGGTCTAATGCTTCCCAAAACGCTAAAATCCACATTTTTTACAAACACACAAACTTTGAGGGCGGCTCCAAACCGAGCGGTTCGACCTAAGATCCCGAAATTTCACAGAGCTTAATGCCTCCAGAGGTACTTTTCAGGAAAAAAATTAAGCTCGTTTCAAGATTATGTCCCACCAAGTCAGATCGGGGAATTTTAGTTTTGACCCATAAATTTATTTTAAGGGGTTTTATCAGATAATTTTTTATGTAAAAGTTTGAGGATGGAAATGCTATGGGCAAAGTGAAATAGGAAGATTTTCTCATGTGCCTTAATTCACGGAAAAATTCGGATTGCACCTAAAACATCAATTTAATTTTCTCCAAAAGAAAAACTCGACTAAAAATGTTTTAGACATACAGGAAAAGTTAGTGGCGAGGACAATATATTTAAGACAGTGAAGCCTTAGTTCTGCACCAGTGATCAAGCTTCCTGAAAGAATGAATATAAACTGCATATGTTGGCATCACTACATGTAGAAAATTGCGAGGTATTAGGGAGTTTTGACAATCAATGTTACTGTCACTCACTTGACATTTATTTCATTGACTTGAATATCAAGAAAGGCAAACGTTAACGGTAATACAACTCCCACTCCCTGTACCTCGCTTGAGTGAATTTTGATTCTATGCTTATAAATTAGTTTTCGTGTTATTTTTAATATAAGGTATGTCGCAGCCTTTGTATCATTTACCATGCATTGCATTTATTTCAAATGTCATTCACTGTAACTTTGTCCAGTGCCTTCTGTTATCTTCATCACTGAATCTTCAACGTGACACTCTATACTCAAATTTTCTCCTTTCGTCACGTATTTTGTCTCTTTCATAAAATAGCAGGTTTTCTTGTAATGGCTGCTATCCAAAGTAGAGAATTTGATTTTGTCAGAGTAATACATTTCGTACCAATAATACACTGCATTCACAAGGCCAGTATTTACGGCAGTGACAGACATTACTTTAACACCATCTTCCAATGTGAAAACGACGCGTTCCGTACGTTGCTCATAAACCAGATCTTCAATGTTGGGATGTTCATCTCCCTATATTGAAATAAAGAGTTTATTGTATAATGAGTTGGTTTCAAGATATCAAACACGCACTGATTCAGTGGCGCCGATAATATTCGCCAGCGGAACAGTCCACTATTGATTTCTCTATATATTTCATACTTCTCCATTTACCATTATGCTGACGACACGCAAATATATTATGGTTTCAATACTAATGGTGCGTTTCATTATTATAATTTGAAAAAAGTGATTGGAACCTTTGTATTTGGATTGATACACAATTATAGTTTTCTTTTCATGTGTGAGAAATATGCTCAAAATCATACAGTATTTTTAAATAACTATAATCTCAGCGACATTTACTGAACAGCAAATAAAAAATGCTATTATGCAAGGCACCAATAATTTCAGGAATAGGTTATTGCGGTACTGTCTACAGATCGAATTTACCTCAAAACGATGAATTTAGAGCCAGTTCAAAAATCTTGTTACCGTTTCTGCTTAGGTATCAAGAAATTTGCCACATTAGCCATGTTTATATAGAAAACAACAAATTAAATTTAGAACACCTTAAAACCTATAACATTTTGTCTTTGGCTCTTAAAATTTTAGTAAACTAAAAAAAATACACATATTAATAGCCTTACAATTAGGAACAGCCAATCTTTGGTTGTACTTCATCATTTTACATACAATTACCAATGAAATATCGTCATTATATTTCAAAAAATTTCCAAAAAAGATTTAAAGATATATCACTGAGTAATATTTCACCGTTCTCTGACTTCTCTATTCAATTTTTTCCTAAATTATAGCGACATGAAACTACAAGCAATTTTAGTTTCATATTTGCATATTCGGTAATACACAGTATTTGTAACTGGAGTAACGAGGAGAAGCCTTCGCGATACTGACGCTTAGGCAACAAGAATTACGCAACCGTGTATGGAGCGCGATCGCGTGCGGGCGCGTTCGTGACGCCATCGCAAACCTTCGACACGCCTCAAGAAGTACAAATATATATCGCCATCTAGACGGATTCTACGAAATTCTATTTCGAACGAGAAGACACGTGCCTCTGGAACTCATTGAGTGTATTACAAATACCCGAACAGATGTCAGTTACAGTTGAGACAGTCAACAAGGAGAAATGCGATAATCCAGTCGACATGGTTATAAATAAGTCATACATTAGTTGCAAGTATTGTGTAAGCGTATACTTTGTACAACAAAACACAAAGCCGTAGATTAGAATGGATATCAGTAAAAATAGCATTCTTTATCTAGCAAAATTTATCGGCCTCAAGCCCGTTACAACCTCCACCCCCAAACTTTACCCTCAACAAATTTTCAGAAATGATCTGTGAAACGTAAAAAAAACGAAGTTTGGCCGTTTTTCTTTCGTTTTGGCCTTTTTCTCCGCCGCCACCTGTTTTCAAAAAGTACAAAGCGTTTTCGTCATTGGAAAGTAAAATCGTGATCTGGCAGTGTTGAGTGCAAAATTCTTACTAGGTACTACTCTGTCTTGACAGGCGTGACCGCACACCTACCACGTTTTGCTCTAATTAGCCTGAACCACTCCAACCCGCATTGACCTACCATAATTTGTGGTTTGCAGGCTCATAGATGTCACGCAGGAAACATGGCCGAATATAAACATTAGGACTACGGACGAACACGTGAGCAGATTTAGTACAAGTTGATGATTAATTTCGATACGAGAAAGGTACGAAGTCTGTAGATTAAGTGATGAAACTGGCAATGTAGCGTTCTATCTGGCAAAACTGGAGGCGCCGGGCTTGAAGGAGAGATAGGGGAACATGAGATCCGCCTTTAGTACAAGTTTAAGTTCGCTCGAGTCATTTGATTGTCGGTAGCGATTTTTTTCGTGAAACATTTTTTGCTATTCTGTTTTAAAAATGAGTAACATCAATTTCGGTGTGCTATCAGGTTTAGCTTCAGACTTGGGCACAGGGCAACGGAAACTCTTGCCAAACTTCAGCAGGCCTACAGAGATAACATTTTGTGAAGAGCCCAGGTTTTTCTGTGTTTTAAGGCATTTTCAGAAAGAAGAGAGTCGACTGAAGATGAACCATGAAGCTGAAGGACTTCATCTTGAAGAACCAATGAAAATGTCGACAGAATCCGGGATCGTGTGCATTCAGATCGACGGTTGACATAATGATCGGGGAAGAGTTAAATTTGAGTCATACCACCGTTCATTAGATCAAGGACAACTGGGTATTGCATAAAGATAATGCTCCTTGTCACAGAGCACTGTCAATAACGAGTTTTTGGCCAGTAAAAAAATTACCCCTCAGCCTCGTTATTCGCCTGACGTTAGTCCTTGCTACTTTTTTCTCTTCCAGGAGTTGATAAATCACCTTAAGGGAACTCCTTTTTTGACATTCGAAGTTATTTTGAGGGCAACAATATAAAATTGTAATTATATTTGGATAAATAAATTAAGAAACAATCAGTTCGTTAAGGGTCAACAAAGCGGGTGCCAACTCTGGGGCAATGTGGCCGGTACAAGACGTACAATGACAACGGTGCCACACAACCCCAAAATAGGCAAAACACACACACACACAAATAGTGCAAGTCACTGATAGCTAGTCGTAGTACGAATTTCGCAAATATTGCAACAATTCACAATATAAGGAATTGCCATATTACATTAAGAATCGGAGTTCCCTAATAACGGTATGGGGGCTTAGAAAAGGAACATAAACTTACCGAATACTGATTCATATGTTTTGCTGTCTTGAAACCCAACGTATTGGAATCATTAACCTTATTACAGCAATCAATGTATGGTGCATAAACCATCATGGCGACTGCTAAGGCAGTTACGGGGAGTACTATAGCGGGCTCCAATGAATCTGTACGGAAAAAGTTGCTTTCCAAGTATCCGTCAGTGTCGATAACGTCATGCAATATCAAACTGTTTGGTTTGACGAATTCTGGGTCAATGCATCTTGCGCCCTCAGGTAACATTACGAATCGTTCTGGTGATATGGAATTAACGCGAAGAATGTAATCAAAAAAGTCTTGATCGAGTTTATTTCTCATACTGTGGAACACTCGACAGCCATTTTTAGCTAAGAGAAATCCTACCAAGGGGAATGGGGTGAGGTCCATTACCTAAAAGGATAAAAGAATACAATGTGTTTCTAAAACATGTGCCAAAGGGTTATTGTTCTAAACTATTTTATCATCTCCACTGAAAATTGATATTACTTGAACAACTTTTGACGAGACAATATAATCTAACAAAATTTTGGTATCATAGTAACTAGCCGAGGCTTTACATTTAGACCAAGAATGGCGCTCTAACATAATATTGCCATCTTTTACACAAAAACGTACTCTTGTTTGATTCCGAAGAAATGGATCATTTTTGAGAAATAGTGGTGAGAATATATTAATTACTCAATGGTTATACTTACATCTAACTGCCTGTCTTTAAATAAATCTGCTACAGATATATAAGTATCCACAAGCTTTTGATCATTTAAAATGGTAACTATGTCCTTGGATACTTTGAAACAGTCATGAGTTGGTCCTTCATCTAAAGTTCTGACACTCAGTCTACAATCTTCCATGGAAACTTCCAAATTTAACATGTCTCCTGCCAAATTAAGGATAATCTTAATTAAGAGGCGGCATGAAGGCACATAGTGCAATAGTTGAAAAAAAAATATCCCATACTGCCAATTTAGAAAAGCTTTCTAGTTTTCATTGGAATAGCGTTGAACTGTTGTTAAAAAATCCCATTGTAGGTTGAATTGTTAATTGTTTTGTCACTGCATGATGTCACTTGTTTGTCAAAATAATCCCTGAGACCTATTTAGTGACCGACGCTTTCATTTTGTTCCGTTCATTAATTATATAAAGCAAATCCGGATCACTCATAAAAAGTAAATATATGCACCCCTCCACTGGCAGCTGTGCCACAGATTGACCTGCACGGGATTTCGGCGGCACAGCATCAGAGTGTTCATGATTTAGAACAATGTTGTAAATTCGCAAGTCGTCGCGACGTCTTCAAAATCCGCTACATGGACGTTTTGCAAAAAATGAGATATGAGTGGAGTCTACCTAATAATCATATGCGTATTTATCATGCTAACAGCTGGTTTTAAACTTTAGGTCAATATTTGATATTGAAAAAATGAATTTTTGTAAATGAAAACCATAAATGCGTGACATTTTCATTGTTAATATATAGCATTGCTTACTTTTTTAGAGTTGAGGGTACAAATTACGTACATACGATCAAATATAATCAGGTTAGTCCAAAATATATCAAACTGTTGCGAAATCGAAGGATCTGTGTCGTTTTTATCGTGCCCTATAAAATCAAACAAACTGCACATAGCGGATTTTGGAACAGCCAGGAAAAAATACTTTATTATAATACATTGCAATTTACCTTCTTTTAGATATTTGCTATGATCAATATATATAATTGCTTGTTCCCAACACTTGGCACAATTTTCATGATTGGGATTTGTAGTTATCCATGTATCTTCATCTAGATACAAGTCAAACCATATTACAAAAGCATGGACGACTCCTTCATTGCATTTTAGCTGAACCTGGAAAAATCCATTTGTAATTTTCCTGTTTACCTTTTTCTGAATTGTCCGACATTTGAAAACAAAAGTAAATATTTGTTATTTAATGAGGACAAACGGTGAATCACACTGTATACTAGCAACAAAACAAGTGAATTGCCACCCAGACGACAACCAAAATATACAAGGTGTCCAAGATAAGGGTCCTATGTATAGGGATCTCAATACCTGTGGGAGATACAGCTTAGGTCAAATTAGGAAAAAGTTCCTTAGGGCCGTTGAGTAACCTGTAAACATTTCATGGCTTACTGAGACATCTAGAAATTTTAAAATTTGGCTACATCGTTTTTATTAAATTGACTCCATTTCAAGAAATATCAAAAGACTAATCTAACGTTTTCATTGGCACTTTTTTGCTCTACATGACGTGTTTTTAAATTTTGTGCCCAACGTTTCGTTTTTCTACGACTTTAAAGATGAATCACATGTTACATCTGTTTTCTTAATTATTAAGAAAAATGTTTTTTTTTTATATTTTATCTTATTTATGTAGGCGTTGCAAACAAATGCTTGATGTAAGATTATGCGATTACTGATTAGAAGCACATTACGAGTATATAATGATATTCAGAATAACGAATACATTTTCAACATTACTTTTATTTTATTCACAATAGGTGTTCAAATAGGTTGCCATTATTTGCTAAACATAAATTGACCTCCTATCAGTGGAATTCAAAACAACACCATAACATTTCTGGTGTAATCCTATTAAATGCTTCTATTACACATTCTCGCAACTGCTGCTCAGTTTCAAAGGTATGTTGATAAACTTGGTTTTTGATACAACCACAAACAAAAAAGTCCAGAGGAGTTAAATGTGGGGAACGCGCTGGCTAGGGGCTTGATTCTAAATGAGTTTCGACCGTTGAAACTGATTTCGATGGCGCCTTGTGACGATATACTTGATTCGCTATGGTAATTTTGACATCTGATTATATTGCTCTTCTATATTCAAATTTTATCATGGCAGTGTCAAAATTATCATAGCTAATCAAGTATATCGTCACAAGGCGCCATCGAAATCAATTTCAACGGTCGCAACTCACTTAGAATCAAGCCCCAGGTCACTTCACTGGAGCTTCCAATCCACCTTCCGGGATATGATGAGAAAGATACTCTCAAACTTGCCTAGAGTTACGTGCAGCACCATTCTGTTGAAACCAGCAGCTATTAACCTGTGCCAAAGGTAAATTATCCAGGCAGTCTTCTAGATCATGTTGCAACAGTTGAAGGTACTGTTTGAAAATGGACTTTGTTGGCTGCCTTCTTTCGAGAAATTCAGAAACATACATTTCTGCAGTATTTCTGTAGCACATGTAGCATGTCCAATTTTTCATCATTGCTGGAATGGCCGCCTGGCATCTTTGACGATAATAAAGCAATGTTAACAATACACAATGATAACAATACTCGGTTAAAGGTATTTACGTCAAACACTTGTTTGCAACGCCTAATTAAAAAAAATAAAAAACAAAAAACCAGAAAAAAACTAATTTTTCTTTATAACCAAGAAAATAAATGTAACTTGTAATACATCGTTGAATTCGTATAAAAAATATATTAGATACAGGGTGTACTGTTTTCCGACCATATAAAAAATAAAGTCGATGATAGTTTCTCAAAAACGAACCGTCGGACACAAAATTTAAAAATACCATCATGTAGTGACTAAAAAGGGCCAATGGAAAAGTTTTATTAGTTTTTTGATATTTCTTAAAATAAATTCAGAAAAAAAATAATTTGCCCAAATTTTAGTTTTTCCCAAATATCTCAGTAAGCCATGAGTTTCTTACAAGTTTCTCAACGGCATGTAAATATGCTCTTTTTAATAATTTAACCTAAACTGTATCATCTCTCACAGGTACTGAAATCCTCATGCATAGGGTCCGTATTGTCACTGTCATCTGAAAAAGCCCACGAAGGTGGCTGAAACGTTAGTAAATCGTCAATTCTGCATATGTGGTTTCAACTGGCGGACAGTAAAGCATGAATATTCTTCATCGGCAACTACAGGATAAGTTACAGATGCTACATCAGTACAAACTGCATTTTTGCTGTCTACAATATTCGATTGTACCACTTTAGACTATGCATACTGGTATGCACATATACAGTTCAAATTATTTGGGAAACGTTATGATCTTTGTACTTTTTACCGTTCACCAAACAGTGATGCAGATACATTTTTAACTTTTTTTGAAGAAAAATGCGAAGAAATGTGGAATTTTAGAAACAATATAATACTTTTAGGTGATTTTAATTTAAATTATTATGGTAAAAGCATGAAAACAAGAAAATTGAAAGAAACCATAAACAACTATGGGTTCAAGCAAAAAATTGAAGAGAGTACCAGAATAACATCATTATCAGAGACTTTGTTAGATCTTGTTATTGTAAATTTCGAATGTGCACAGATTAAAGCTGTACATACACCTAAAGTTAGCGATCACAGTTGGACAATGCTGCCTTTGGTAGCGCATTTTTCTGATACAAAAATTAAGAAAATCGTAAATACTATTAAGTACGAAAAACTTGAACGAGAACTTGCTGGCTGCTATTGGAATTTTGGTGAGAATATGGAAAAAATATATGACAACATAATAGGAAATATAAAAACTTGTTTAGATCTTGCAACTGATAAAAAAGTGATTTGCTCGACAAAAAATACACCCTGGTATAACAAGAATATTAAGGCAGCTCAAAATTTGAGAGACAAACAATACAATAAATGTATATTCACAAAATCAAATGATGATTGGGAGGTATATAAAACTCTTAGGAATAAATGTGTATATGTAATTAGAGAAGAAAAAAGAAAATTCTACGATAAACAAATCGATAATAACAAGTGCGACAGTGTAAAGATGTGAAAGACTTTAAAAAGACTGATCAATTCGAAGCCGCATGATTGTGTAAATCAAGTTCAATTCGAAAACGGTACCGAAACAAATTCTTTGGTGATTGCAAACAAACTAAATGAATATTTTGTGGAAAGTATTGTTGATATTGTAGGTACTGCCAATGCTGCACCTGACTATATGAAAATCAGTTTCCAGGGGGAAATGTTGCATATACTTTCAAAATTTCACAGCGTATCATTGAATTATCTAAGAAAAAAAGTATACAGTTTAAAATCACCGAAATGACTACTAAAAACGTGCCGAAAAACTGTTTCGAAATTTTGGGATATCCTGTATTAAATTGGATCAATTGTTCACTGAGAAACAGTTCTTTCCCTGAAAATTTGAAATGCTCTACAATAACACAAGTTCCCAAAATAAAAAATTCTAAAAGATGCAGCGATATGAGACCAGTAAATGTGTTACCAGACATTGAAAAATTATTAGAGTCCATAGTGCATGACCAATTAATGCAGTTTATAGAAGAAAACAAAATTTTAGTGGAGGCGCAAGCAGGCTTCCGAAAAAAATATTCCACAGAAACAGCTTTCCAGTTGGTAACTGAGAATTGGAGAAGAGCCATAGACTCAGAAGAAGTTGTCATAGCAGTATTTTTGATTTGAAGAGGGCATTTGAAACGATTGATAGAGATATTTTGTTAGGTAAATTGAAGGCATATGGTATAACAGGAAGTGTTTTAGATTGGTTTAGAAATTATTTGTCTAAAAGGATGCAAGTTACAAAAGTTAATGACACTATTTCATCAAAAATTGAAAATACGTTGGGTGTTCCACAGGGCAGAATCCTGGGACCACTTCTTTTTATTTTATACATAAATGATTTACCTGCCATAGTCAAAAAATGCAAAATTCAAATTTTCGCCGATGACACTATGATTTATATAAGTACTAAAAATATTCAGTCTGGTATCTCTTATATAAATGAAGACTTGAAGCTTGTCTCAAAATGGTTAGCATCTAACAGACTAAAATTAAATGCAAGTAAAACGAAAGCCTTGTTAATCGGAAAAAAACAATGTACAAATGTTCAACTGAATATTGATGGTGAAGATATTGAATTCGTAGAAAATTTTAAATACCTGGGAGTTTTGTTGACTCTCGATTAATTTTTAATATTCATTATGAAAAAGTTATAAATAAGATTAGTAGTAAAGTGGGATATTTATCGAGAGTTTCTGGATGTCTGAGTTCATATAGCAGAAAAATTATCTATAATACCATCATTCGTCCAAATTTCTTGTACTGTTCGACTATTCTATATTTAGCAAATAATTCCATTTTTGAAAGACTGCAAATTTTACAAAATAAGTGCATGAGAATAATACTAAATAAAGATAAATATACTCCAATTAGGCAAATGCTTAGCAAATTAAAATGGCTCAATGTAAAAAATTTTATCAAATATCTTGTAATGATATTCATTTATAAAGTAAAAAATAATATATTTCCATCAAGTCTAACTAATTTAACATCATCAAATGTCGACCATCATTTACATAATACCAGAAATAAAGATGACTTCCATTTAATGACCAAAAAGTATAACATATGCTACAAATCTGTATTCCATCAAGGGTTGATTGAATATAATAAATTATACTCGGAGATAAAAGACCAGAAAACTTTGACAAAATTTAAAGTAAAATTGAGAAATCACTTGTTAAATCTACAATTATAGGTTGCCCAGCATTTACATCATACACCATATGGCTTGAATTTACTAGTTCTAAGTTGTTTACAATTGTTTCTGTTTTTTTAAATCTTTCTACACTACTACTACTACTACTACAATAAGAAATCGATGGTGCCTATTAATTTGTGAAAACATTTTTTTGTGAACGGGCTCATTGCATGGCCTTAATAAAATGCACGAAAAGGTGTTAGAATATTTATGCAAACTCCAATATTACCTCGTGTTCATATTTGCTACTAAGAAGTTTGTTAATCTGCTCTTGATCTGAAAAATTCACTTCAAAAAGCACTTGGGTATCTGTGACAAACCTATAATTTCTTCCAGCAAGATACTCTCCCTCATATGGTTTCCATTCTAGTTGAGATACACATAAGTTATCCAAATGTAGTCGTTGCAAAGAAGGTTTTGGTAAATACTGATATTTTGAATACAATTGTGGACATGATATTCCTAAAAAAAAAGAAAAACAGTGGTTTGAGCAAAATGTTCCATTGTGGTCATTTAGTCGATTTTTTTATATTGAAGCAGCCAGGAAAGTCTAAATACTGGAGCACCGCGGCTGCTATAAGGAGCTTAACACCTCGTTAATCTGATTTTAGAACTGGATATACAGTCAGTGAAAACCAAAAGTTCGTCAATTTTGATCTGAAAAACAAATCTCTAAAAATAAACTATCCTCAAAATACTCCCTAAGGTCTTGTGGAGCAAGGATTCAACTTCAATCAAGATAGTTAGTGACCTCAAATATTAAATTTTTTAACCGAGTGTCTAAGCATTGAATATACCCCCACTATAACCCAGATCAAATACATTACGATGTGAATATGTTTGAAGAATTTTTTTAATGGAACTTTTTTTTGCCGGGACAATTTTTGTTTAGGTTCTTTGAATTATTCCGAACAATAGAGGCTTCTATTAACTTTTTTCTGAAGCTGACCATTTTCCACTTATAGACGATTTAATGTCTGAAAAATTGGTATATTTAATGATTAAAAACTCGGTTAAAATTATAATTTTTGAGGTTGACAATTATCTAAATTAGAGTTTAGGCCTTGCTTTTCAAGACCCCGCAAAGAATTTTGAGATTACTTCATTTTAAAGCGATTTTTAACCTTGTATGTCAAAATTTGCGAACTTTTGGTTTTGGAAGCTCGACACGATTAGGATGAGAGACCGAAGTCGGGCGGGTCTAACCGGTAAGCTCATCGCGTGGCAGCATCATGGTGGAGAACTCTGAGGAGCAAAGCTGTAGCAGAGCCAGATCGCCGACGACCCGTCGATGCGAAATGGTCCCGGGACTGTCCGTTACAGATGAGTCATCAACCAGTCGACTACTCTACTATGCACAGCATCGAGCAATGATAACGTACTCGGGAGGCAGCATCCCAAACATGAGAGCAGTACTCAAGGCTAAGCCTTATCTGAGCCTTGTACAGATCATCTCGTGCCAGGTCAAGTCCTCGGTGATTTGGATCCCGATCATCATCATTTCATCCATCGAAACCGGATGAACGCTAAGACGCTTCTTGTTGGACAAGTTACAGTACTGTGTTTTGGAAGCATTAAACCAGACTGTTGCGGCCAGAGGGGGGGGGGCGGTAGGGTGCAAGTTTGCATAAGAGTGTAGCATACCACAGCTGATCGAAAGTACCGGTAAGATATCTTGAAAATATGAAAAAGAATTGGAGCAAGCTCTGTTGAATGTCTCTTCAGTACAACAGCAGGAATCAAGTCCGAACCAGAAGCTTTATTGATGTTGAGCGACAAGAGCACTCGTGTTGCGGCCTTCTGCCTGAAGGTTACTTCCCGCATAGTATAAAGGGAATCCTTTGAATTGACGGCAGTCGGGCATCGGAGAGGAGGGGAGGCGTTCATGGTGGAGTTGACAGCAAAGATCTTGGCAGCCATTTCGGCCTTAGCCTTTGAGTCGGTTACAATCGTTTCATCTTGGCACATATGCGGTGGAGGCTACTCTTTGAGAAGTTCCATTCGAACTGCTTGGTCAGCGTGCAGAAAGACAGACTGCCATTGCGCTGCGACATTACCCTGTGCCGGCAGTGGTTATTGACATCACCCTACCTCTGAAGCAGGGTGACTGATGTTCAAGAAGTCGATCATGACAGCGAGTTATTCGAGTAGTCCATCCCGGTATGGTCCGAGGGACAGCGATAGAGCTAGCAAACAAATTGGGGGATGAACCTCTGAGATGGAAGTGAGTTTATGTCCGGAATTTTCAGTATTCGAAGGATCCAAGATCATCTTTTGTTGAGAAAGTGAAGGGCCAAAGGAAGGAAACCGACTGCATAACTTAAGTGTAGAAACATGCGGATAATTTTAAGATACTCTGTAAAAAGCTTTCGGGTGGTACCCCCTCAGTCGATGAGTCCTTACCTACTACCTTCTTTTGTTTGTAAACGTTGTTAAACAGACCTAAAGTGTTCCGTTGGCGGACTTGCACAGCCACCCGGCAATTGGAACTAACCTATTCCTTAACGCACATGCAATCACTTGAATGCGAAGATGTTTACTGAGTGCAACAACTTTTCGAACAAGCATTTGCCATGGCAGCGCTCAGTATGGGATGAGATTAGGAACAATTTGACTTTCAACTTTCTTTTGATCTGACACGTGACAGCAAAGTATCAGCACCTTTGCCAGGCCTCAGTTGGCCCCTCATGACACTGACTTCATCATAGAGAGCATGGCTATATTTCACTATTAGTCCAATGATGCTTCCCTTCTTGTCGGACGCATGAGTGGCGATCCATTCAGTTCCCCTGATATATATAACTTGAGACGTGGTCATTGTCGTCTAGACCAGTTAGGTGAAAAATTAAAGCTTCCGCTTTTTGTTGGGTACTTCGACAAAATTTAAGCAAAGAGGACTCTTTATACTTTTTTTAATTCTCTCTAGCTTTTAATGGACTTTGCCATCATCATCAGGAGAGTAGTATGTGAGGATGTTGCTAATTGTTGTTTTCGTATAGGATGAGGGAAACGTCCAGTAATATGGTGAGAGCTGGATACATGGTACAATGGTTAAAATTAAATTAAATTAAAATTAATTAAATTCTTGTCATATTTTATATAATTTTAACCATTGTACTTTGCTTAAATTTTGTCGAAGTACCCAACAAAAAGCGGAAGCTTTAATTTTTCACCTATATATATATATATATCGGGTGTTTAGCAAATTCGATCCTCACAATCGGGAATTCGGAAACTGTATGAGATACGAAGTCTCTTAAATGGGGGCAAAGTTCCTTGTTTAGGTAATCAGCAAAATGCCGCTTAGAAAGTTTCGAAATTCGAAGTACTTCCGGAGAGAGGCGGAAAAAACGAATTTTCCAAAAATTGTTTCAATTGTTTCCTGACTGCAGTGGAATTTCAAATTAAATTGCACCTAACATTGCCACTTTTTCTCCTCTATAAGATGGAATAATTAAATTTCCAATATGACGTTTCTTATAGAGTTTTTAATTCTGTTGGCAAAAATGTTAATATCTGGTATAGTCTAATCATATTAAATGAAAATACCGCTGGTTTGCGAAATAATTGTAATGTCTGGTTTTACTGCTGCAAGTTGTTGGATACATCAATTTTTGTGGAAAAACTTTTTATTGGACAACAAATAATGAGAAGAGAAGAGCGTATTTTTTGGGATTCAATCGAATGTGTTGGCAGGAACGAAAAAACTCTTCAAATATGATTTTCAGGTATTTATGAGACCTACAAAATGAGACCACACGTAAAAAGATCCGACTAAGTGCAAAAAAGTTATGGCCGAAAATCGAGGCAAAATGCAGGTTTTGACACTTGTTCGTAGGCTTCATACTTTTAAATAACCACAACAAAGTTGGAGTAGATTGATCAAGTATTTTTTGAGAATTTCTGATTGTTTATCCCAAAACACCTGTTTTCCGGCCATCACTACTAGTTTGTTGAGCAATATACAGGGTTCGTTCAAACGGCATTTTATAGCAAAATACATACCTTTCCTATATGAATCACAAACCTTTTTGGAAGATAAATGTTATTTTTATGCGAAAAAGAGTCAAGTTTTTTTCTTCCAAACAAGTTCAAAGATATCTTGTTTGAAACAAATCGGCACGGGTATCATGTAAAAAACCTACAAAACGTCAAAAAAACCTATAAGATGTCAACTTGTAGACTAGGTAGTTTTTAGGGCGCAAATAGTCATTCCACGTTTGCTCACTAGGATCGTTGTGAACGTCCATCTATGGAGGAATCATTCAACTAAACTACACGCATTATTGGTTGCATGGTTTCAATAAAAATTGTTTAGAATCAATTTTCTCCATACAATGATTTTGTTACATGACACCTTTATCCACTTGCGTCTTCAATTATGTTTCAAACTCTTAGCCTAGTTAGTATGTAGCGTGTGCTTAATAGCTACATTACTCATTACTGCTTGACTTTGTCATATAATCAGGTCACGAAATCCAGTACTTACGAAAAAATATAATTCCCTAGATCTTTTTCCTAAAAGTATTATGTAATATAGTACACGGTTGTTTTCGAAATCTCGTACGATTTAAACGACTGCGAGTTCAAAATGTCGGAGAATAAACTCGAGAAAACGAAAAAACAGTAGACAAGTATCAACCAATTATAGCGAACTGACCGTCTTAAAAATTAGGTAAAATGCTCGTTATTAGTCCCTAATGCATTATTTAAAGATTCAGCATTGTATCATGTTTAGTTTTCAAGAGTACTGTAATTCTTTATAACTGATTTGATATGCCTCCAACGTTCGCTTGAGATTTGTCAGTGTCAAGAATAGTGGATAAGGATCCAGTAAACCAAGAGGCGTCGTAGCGTAATGGGAAGGGTTACTGGTTGCAGAACAGGCGGAACGGAGTTCGAATCCACGAAGCTCGTTTTTTCTCTATTATTTTTTTTATTTGGAGAAATAAACTGGAGAAAACGAAAAAAAAGTAGACAAAAGGACGGAGGTTCGAATCCAAAAAGCTCATTTTTTCTATTAATTTAATTTCAAGTTCGGCTAAATAAATGCTTTTTCACATTATGTGTACTTTTACCATGATCAAACAGCTTTTCGCACGCCACACATAATGTAATGTAGCTATCTAGCACATGCTACATACTAACTACGATTAAGACAGTTTGACACATAATTGTGTGTTCAGTTTGCTTGATAACTTTATAAACAGTTCAGTGCATTTCAGTATGAAATAATTTTTTATAAACTTTAAGGGTCATCTGTGACAGTGTAAAAATTTCAGCTCTGAATATGTATATGTTACCGGCAATCTGTATAATACGGTATTCTATAGAATTCCTAAAACGTGTAGGTAATGTATGAACTATTATTTGTCTTATACTTTGCCTAGGTATTCTATACAATATCGAATGCACAGTCGGTAATGTATGTAAAAGACGAGAGGAAGGAACGGGTTGTACGT